GTGAAGGTCATGCATCTTTTTGTCTTTTCCCCAACTTTTGGATTTTTTTTTTCTTGAAGACATACCTGGAGAGGAGACTCCATGATGCTATTAACTGCCCATCCCCCACCCCCACCCCCACCCGACAAGTGATTCAGTGCAAGGCAGCACAGGGAGCTTGTCCCCTTGGTCTGAAGCAGTGTGGGCGTATGGAGGGTCAGTGAGGACAAAAAGGAAGCTTGCACAGTTAATGCCCTATCACTGAGATGGATGGAGAGAGAGGTCCTACGGCCTGTGAGAGGAACAGGAATGAAGCCCAGGGATTTAACTAGAAGTCCAGACCACCCCTAATTTCCAAGGATTCTCATTGGGAAGGATCTGAAAGAGACTTTAGAAGTTCAGGTGGAATTTGTTTGTTTTATGAAGTTAAATGATTACTTCATTGTAGACTGGGGTTTTGCCTTAAATTTTTGCACTGTTAACACTGTCCACCTTAATCACTGTGAGTCCTTTATCCCATGCACTCCTTAGCACCTCTGAACCTAGAAGTCTAAACGCCTGGCAGTGCCTCTGGCTTTGTGCTTTCACCTCCAGGCCTGGCTGAGGCATCTGTGCCTCCTCTTCCTGTTCCAGCGTAGACCAGGGGCAGAGAATTACAGTCCAACTTACCCCAGTGTCCCCAGAACTTTCTAGATTAGAAAACTGGAAGCTTCACATCCCAGGATCCTCACTCAGTTCGAGGAAAACTGGGACAGTTGATGTCTCAGTCAGCTCAGGTTGCCATAACAGAATACCATAAACTGGGTGGCATAAACAACAGAAATTTATTTTCTCACTCTTCTGGAGGCTGGAGGCCCAAGATCAAGGTGCCATCATAACTGGGTTCTTGTGAGGTCCCTCCTCCTGGCTTGTAAACAGATGCCTTCTTGTTGTGTCCTCGCGTGCTAGACAGTGGGATATGTGGGGGGAGAGAGGGAGAGGGAGAGAGTGAGAGAGGGGGAGAGAGACAGAGAGAGAGAGAGAGATATCTGGCATTTGGTGTCTCTTCTTATAAGGGCACTAATCCCCTCATGAGGGCCTCACCCTTATGACCTCACCTAAACCTCATCATCTTCCAAAGGCCCTGTCTCATAATACCATTACGCCAGGGGTTAGGGCTTCAAGATACATAGTTTAGTTCAGTCCATAGTAGTTGGTCACCCTGAGTCCAGTCTCACTCTTGATCTGAGCCGCTGTTGGATGCTGCTGTTTACAATCTGAGTTTTTTAAACTATTTTCCTAGTCTTACCTCTCTTGTGGTATCTCTCTTAAATATCTTCCTTATTCCTGAAGGCCAGGCTATAGTCTGGGACCCATAAAAGTTTTCCATGTATTTCAGTCTGGAACAGAAACGAGTACAAGTTTTGTATTTTTGTTTTCTAGCAAGGAGATATTTGTGGAAACTTCCAAGAAAACAAATGGAATGGAATGGGATGTTTGCTTTCATGGATCAGAAATGAATTACGTTGCTTTCTTTCAGAGTTGTGGAGTCTTAGGAAAGAAACAACAGAAAGAAAATGTTTTGTGAAGAAGAGCTGTGAAAAGAATAGACTTCTGCGTGCAGTACCTGGGTCAGGAGATAGGGACGGACTCTGTGGTGGCGCCCCTGAGAAATAACACTTGCCATGCTTTCTTACACCTGGATGCTGTCTCCAAATGCTCTCTCTAGGTATTCTGCTTCAGGGTCTTCAGAAGAACAGGTTAATAGCTGGTCAGAGGGAAGGGACGGAGAGGGGGATTGTGTTAGTGTGAAACAGTCTGATGGCTGAACTCTCCTGAGGGTTGTAGGCGAAAGCAGATCCTAGAATAATGGGGGTCCCATGCACAGCACTGAAAATAAAATGTTATTGGCTCCAGTCTGAGACTGTCAATTTCCACTAAAATGAAATAAATTACTCAGAAAAGAGAAGCACCAAATATTATGCAGTCTGCCTTTGGGAAAAGAAAAAAAACACCCACTTCTTATAAAAACACTTTTTTGGGATGAAGGATTTGATTTCAACTGATGAGTCATCACTGTGTGTGTGTGTGTGTATGTGTGTGTGTGTGCGTGCGTGTGTGTGTGTTTTACCACTTAGCTAAAAAGTGAGGTTTTAAAAAGCATTTCTTGAAGCAAATTCTTCCACTGCTTGGAGTTCTATCACCTAAGAGAGAAGGCATCCTAAGCACTTACGTCCACAGCGCCAGCAGCTCTCCCAGCTTGCATGAAAGATATTGTCAGGCAAGATTTGTAGCTCTCAAGTTCCAGATTCATTACGAAAAGGCGACCTCAACATAACATTCATAATCTAAAAGCAAGAAATTATCAAGAAACAGAAAATAAAATTTAAAACCAATTTCAATGAGTAAAGGATATGTTTTAAGATGACACGATCAATGTCAGAAAGACAAAAGAATTTAAGAGAGCTTGAGCTCTCAGTTGTGTGGGCATGGCAGTGGGGTGACCACATCTCTCGGTTTACCAAGGGCAGTCCTAGCTTATGCCTGCTAAGCATCCCCCTTGACTCTCAAAAGTATCTTGTTTTGGAAAGTGAGTTATATGGTCACCCTAAGTGTGGTAGCTTTAAAACATGTCTGCAAATTCTTTGACACTCCTATCATCAAAAAGTCCATGTCCCAGCTGGGTCCAGTGGCTCATGCCTGTAATCCCAACACTTTGGAAGGCAGAGGCAGGTGGATCACCTGAGGCCAGGAGTTCAAGACCAGCCTGGCTAACATGGTAAAACTCTATCTCTATTAGAATACAAAATCAGCCAGGCGTGGTTGTGAGCATCTGTAATCCCAGCTACTCGGGAAGCTGAGGCAGGAGAATCACTTGAACCCGGGAGGCAGAGGTTGCAGTGAGCCGAGGTCATGCTATTGCACTCCAGTATGGGCAAACACAGTGAAACTCCACCTCAAAAACAAAACAAAACAAAACAAAACTCTGTGTCCCTTCCCCTTGACAATGGGCAGGCTTTTGTGACCACCTGTGTGAATAGCATGTGACAGCAGTGACAGTGCCTGATTTCTAAGTGTAGGTTAGAAAGGGCCATGTGGCTTCTCCTGGTTTTTCCTGGGATACTTGTACTGGGAGTCCTCGGCCACCCTCTAAGAAGTTTGACTACTCAGTTTGGGCTGCTGTGCAGGAGGGACCACATGGAAAGACCAAAGAGTGAGAAAGTGGGAGTAAGAGACACCTTAGCAGCCACAGCTGGTCCAGCTCCGCTCGTTTGAGTGTTCCCAGTCCAGGTACCAAACATGTGAGTGAGGAAGGCTTTGAGTTCACTCCAGCCCTAGCCACCACCTGACTACCGCAATGTGAGAGGCCCCAAGTGAAAGCTATCTGGCTGAGCCCAGTCGACCTCCAGAACAGTGGGAGAAAATAGTAATAAATGATATTGCTCTTCATGTCGGTAAGTTTGAGATGGTTATGCAGGCAGAGGTAACCAAGAGACTACATACAGGTTGGTTAAGCATGACATTACCTGATGGTACCTGGAAGGTCCCTCCTAAGCACTTTCAAGTTGCTGCAACTTCTTTATTACGAACCTTTGCTCAATCGTTTTATTAAGAACGTTACAGCTGCACTGGCTTCCTTTTAGTTCTTCCTGTAGCCAAGCTCATCCCGAACCAGGATCCACTGTCTAGAATATTTCTCTCTCTCCCCAACTCCTTCCCTTTTCATCTGTGTTACTCTTATTCACTTTCCAGGTCCCAGCTTAAAACCCGCTTCTTGATTCCTTCTGATAGGTTCTTAGCTTTCTCATAGACACTTGAGAGAAACTGTATTTTCAAAAAATCACCACAGCCATACTTTTGATCCTATATGCTATTCCAAAATTTTGCCATTCCCTTATCAAGATGTGGCATCTATTTCCCCTTCCTTTGAAATGACGCAAGACTTTGTGTTTGTAATATTGCCCAGAATGGGGCAGAAGCAATGGTGTGTGACTTTGAGTCTAAGTCAAAAAGGAATATGGCTTCTACCACAATCCTCAGGATACACACCCTGGGAACTCAGCCACCATATTGTGGGAAAGTCCAGGCCACATGGAGAGGCCACGTGTATGTATTCCATCTGACAGCTCCAGCTGAGGTCCCAGCTGCCAGCCATCATTAACTGCCAGACAGGTGAGTGTGTTTTCCTTCTAATGATGCCAGTACCCTGCTTTTGAGCCATGCTAGCTAAAGACAAGTAGAGCAGGAATGAGCTATCCCTGTTGACTGCTCAATACTATGCAATCTATTGTCATCATTGTAAGACTCAGTCTGGGGATGGTTTGTTACACAGTAATAGATCATCAGAGCACTACTGTATTTTTATTTCTTAAAACTGCCCCAACTGTAAATGTTATTAAAGTGATATGCTAAATGTCTGTTTCTCCTTCTGAATTGTGAGATCCATGGGAGCTGGGACCCTGAATGCCTTGTCCTCTGTTGTATGTCCAGCACCTGTCCATGTCTGCCACACAAGAGGAGCTTCAAAATATAATCATGGAATGAAAGCATGAATGAATGAATGCATACAATGGCCTAAAAGGTACATGAGAATACCAAAAAGGTAAAAATGAAAGCCAAAAATTTCCTGAGGATATGAAAAACTATTTTGGTTGAAGAATACACTGCTCATCATGATATCTGTGGAGTTCAGAAGCTGATTTGTAATTTTGTATTTGTCAACTTATTTTATGCCTTTCAACCATGTATCAATATTAGTTTGGTCACATCCAATCACACTGGAATCTACACTAACACACTATTGCAACAAAAACCTTTTATAATCTTTTGGCACCTTTAAGTGTTAGTTTCAAAGTAGGTTCTTAGTTCATGCAACTTGATTAATTTATATTTATAAAAGAATTACCGTAGTCACAGACCAAGACAAGTATCACCTCCCATGGGTGGAAAAGTATGTGTCAAATTATACTCCATAGAGGAAAAATTGTTTGAAGTTGTGTAGATTCAAACCAGCAAAGTGGGAGACTTAAAGAGTTGATACGTGTTGTTGCAACACACTTAGCTATTATTTTTGAGAACACGTGGAAGACTGAGGTTGGGGGATGGAGAGGCTACAACAACATCCATCTTTTCACAAGAAAGCAACTTCTTAAGAAAAGAGAAAAACAGAACAAAATACCAATTTATCAATTTGTGGACACCAAGGAGAGCTCAAGATCCTGTGCAACCAGTCTGGCTAGAAGAAGAAGAATTCGGGGCCAGAACTAGCTAATGGCCTCTGGTGAGAGTCTCAGGCTGTGGAAATAATCACACAGCAGCAGGTGGCTGTATTGGGGCTTCTTGGGGCATCTCATGGCAGGTGAACAAATCAAGTTCCCCTTTAAAGAAATGGTCCTGAGATTTGATCAATATCTCCTACTACTAGAGGAGAAACGAATACAACCTTGAGGATTGGAGCCACTCAGTGTCACTTAACCTCAGCTGGTCATCCTCTTGTGTGTCCTGGTTGGAGCTCTCATCCATCCTCGGTTCAGTTTCTCTAGTGACTATAGTTTCATCTCCTGCAAGGTGGGAAAAGGGTAGACATCAATTACTTAAGATGGGGCATGGGGATCACTGCTGCCATACACACACAGCCTTCAAAAAATCCAGTATTCAATCTACCCCATCTACCTCTAGCCTCTTGCTCTTTCCAAATGCGTCATGTTCTCCCTTCCCTCTGTAACTTTGTCCTAGAATGCCTTACCATGCCCGCTCCCAGATATCCCATATAATTAACTTTGACTGCCTTGACCTTTCATTAGTTCAGGTGTTGTATCAGAGGCTGGTGGCGCGCTGCTCAGATCTCTGTTGGCTGGGCAGGCACTCCTATCCTTCCAGCTGTCTGTAAGTGATGGTTTCTAACAGCTGCAGGTGGCATCCTTCTCCAGAGACTCACCCTCTGTCAACAGGAGCCACCTCTCCCAGAATTAGGTAGGAGATTAGGTGCTCTCCCCCAGGATCAGCCTGGAGCCAATGACCGACTAATGAGGAATAGTCAGGTCTGGGCTTTTTGACTCAAGGTGGGATAGCCCTTTGGTGCAGTCCTCACTCCACATCTCCCCTTGGGTCTGACTGCAGCTAGACTTTAACGGAAGCCACATCTTTTCCTAGTTTCACCCCCTTCACTTCCTCGATTCCCTCATTTATTTACAGGTTTCTTCTGAGTTTTCCCTTGATAAATCACTTATACAAGAGTTCCCCTCTCAGACTCTGCTTCCAGGGAACCCAACCCAGCCCGATATTGTCTTTTCTGGGAGACTAACCATTTGTCATCCAAACTAAATCAGAGCCCCTTTTATGTGCACACACCGCTGTCACAGAGCTTCTTACGAAGTACTGGAATCTCTGATTTACTTATCAGTCTCCCCAGCTAGTCTATTTGAGAGCAGGAACCTTGACCTATTGATCTCTTTCTCCCCAGCACCTGGGACCTATGGCTGCTGTTCAGTAAAGTTTTGATGAATTGAATTCTTGGGGATCTTGGTGAAGACAGTGTACTCATTAGATATACAAGGTGGGTGGGTGAGCCTTATTTTGTCCCTCATATTAAAGAGGATTCAGGGGAAACAATCATAGAGATTGTTATAGAAATAGGCTACGGGCTCACCCTAGAATGTTGGTTAGAATGATTGAAAACGGAGGCGGGGTATGGTGGCTCACGCCTGTAATCCCAGAACTTTGGGAGGCTGAGGCAGGTGGATCACCTGAGGTCAGGAATTTGAGACCAGCCTGCCCAACATGGTGAAATCCTGTCTCTACTAAA